TGCTAAGCGCCGAATGGAATATAAAGGTGTTCTAAGAGTGACACGAATAAAAGAAGTGTAACCCACATCTTTCCAGGCCTCAAATGGAGAATTACCTTCCAAACATTTTTTTACACCAAGTAGAGCGGTATAAGCCCCTGGTAAAGGCGAACGGAAAAAATGTCAGTTCGGTGCGCGGCACGGATACTAGTAGCGCAACGTTTGAAGATCTCTCAACAGATCTTGTTCGCTGCTTTCCAGAGGAAAACGTCCAATCTGTCATCGCATAATAGCCTTCTTCAGTATTTGTAATTCCCATCTACCTTTTCTCGGCCATGCGCTGTTTAATCGCAAGCAATTTTCTACTGCCCATATTCTAAATTATGGAAATGACGTCACAAATTCTTAAGACTTTGCCCTTTGGTCCTTTGCTGAAAATTTTATGTTATTTCTACAGTTAGAAAGGTTGATTAATTGTCTCGATTTTATTCAAAATATCAGGTAATTTATTTAAGATTTCATTTTAACCATATTTGCAAAGAGGATGGGCTTTTCTGGGTAGGAGGAACCACGTTCAGGGTTGCCGCCGATATGCTGTTGGCGTGACCTTAATAGTGCTACGTGACAGATTAGATTACGTGACACCGAAAGTGTCTGGCAGACCCTAAAACTGATTTAGCGGGCGGTAATTTCCGACGAGAGCCGACTTCGGGTTTTCCCTGACCACGTAGCTTTATAAACTAAAACAGGATGAGGAAAACATTTTGCCGATAATCTTTCGCAGTATCGGTATAACACATTCAAGCGTTCAACTAAGGTGAGTTTCAGAAGTTGTATACATTCATTGTGTGTCGCATATAACATTATTCTTATCAAATGAACTAAATTATATCTATATTCGCCTCTCTACGGACTGTGGTAAATAAACGAGGTTCAAATAGCAAGAAGGGCGTTTTACAATTTCCATGCATGAAAAACAATGGTGATAAAGTGTTTCGTGAGGCAGAATATTAGTTGCTATGTAAAAGACCCCAATGATACAAAAAAGAATGCGAACCTTTCCAAGATCTCAGAAACAAGTATTAGCTGATTCAGAGAGTTAAGTCTTAGAAATTTAGAGCAGATTACCTTAGCTTGAAACTTCTGTGAAGTAAATATCTGTGAGTTATGACTTAGAGATTTGTTTCTAATGAGCATTTTCGAATTTAACGTCGAAGGTTGTCTGGGATTTGGCTATCACAAAAAAGTTTCCCAATTTTGACTGTCTTTATACATTGACGGATTCTTCGCATTCTTCGCGTGACGTTTCGAGTACAAATTGTTGAGGGTGCAGTTTAGAATTGTATGGCATTGTGATGATCAGTTCGAGGGCCTGCAAGGTCACGCTTTCAGTTTTTATCATTGGGTATAGTTTTTCTTTGGCCCTTGTCAAGACAATTAATTGATCAACTGAAAATATCTTCCGTTAGAAGCATGCTAAGTTAGTCTACTGAATTTTCCCTGGAGCTAATGTTATGTTCTCATTTTTGCCATTCGTAAGCTTTAAGCACTTTGGTTTTCATTTGTGAGATTATTTCAAAAGTGCTTGGGTAAGTTTTCTTATAAAAAATGTAAAATCTTTTAAGGAGGTCAACTGGCCCGCACGCCTACGAACTCAGCCCATGTCAACTGATAGTTTTTTTAAAAGTGTGTTCTATAGAGTGAATAGTCAGCATGTCATTCACTCAGTGAGGTCAAGGAAAAGTGCGGTGAGTAAAGCGAATCCCCTCCTAGTACAATTGTGGCAGAGAACAGCTAAAAACAAGACGGAAAGGGAGTCCTTTCTGCCTCCCGCTAAGCGAGGTACGCTCTGCAGCAGATTTTTCCTTAAGTTTTTACGTCTCGACAATATTCTAAAGCCAATTCGAAGTCAAATCCTCTCAATTTTACACTTTGTTTAACATTTGTAACAATTCATGGCTTTGCAAGTTAACTGAAGTAGCGAGGTTTTTTTGAATTAGCGAGAATTTCATGTGAGCTAACCTTAAATGAGCTTGTGTGGGCTTAACGTTTTCAAGTTTATCCCTATTACATCCGTCTCAATATCATAAAGTTTTCGTAATCTGTTTCCCTTGTAGATTTAGTTACACTGTGCTTTCATCATCATGTCTCACAAACAAAAGCTAAATTTATTGTTTCCTTCAAAATAATAGTAATTTTAGGTTCAATAAAAACATGACTTCTGACAATAAGGTGCTTTAATTTTTACTAAACAGAAACTTAATATTGAATTGACATAACAAGAATCTCTTAATGTTATGCTTGTACTCAAAGAAACGTTACTGAACTACAAAAACCTGGACCGGAAAAAACAAGCCCAGCTCGGCAGCTTTGTAACGGAGTGTGATTTCCGTTTAATATGGACACTGCTGAGTTTTTTCGGATAACGCCAACGTAAATAAAATTATAAGGGGCCGACCATTTAACTTTTGAGGTTGGGGGGTGGGTGATTTTGAAAAAAATTTCCTGCAAGCGCTTGTTGGAAGAAAAAACTTGCATGCAGCCCAAATGTAGCTGAAAAAAAGAGCTTTCAGAACGGAAAAAAATATCCTGCACAGCAGATTGCTAGAAAAAAATTTTCTTGATTACCAGAAATCACCCACCCCCTCCCCTCAAAAGTTAAATGGTCGGCCTCTAAGAGACATGTTTTTGGAACGTCTGGAAAATATTTACAAACACAACATAATTCGGGATTGAAAATGTAGTCATCTCCAAGTCCCCACGCTGTGGCCTTCTGTCGACTGACGTGTCACTACCCTGAGGTAGACCAGTATGGAATCGAACCACCTCCGATTTCGCGTTTCTGTGCTCTGTCAACTGAGTCACAGACAGAGAACTCTTCGCGAGTTGAAGAAGATTTGGGAATACTAAAGAAAAGTTAAAAAAACATAAACAAAACCGCTTGACAACTTTAATTCCTGAGAAATCACCTCTAGCTATCATCTTGTCGGGCGACACGGAATCTTCAGTTGACCGTATGACTTAATCCAGATTTATGCTTAGATTTTGCAGTAATGTTTTTCGAAAAAAGAAAAGAAAGAGGAAAAAATAAAACGCTCACGAAGCTAGTCGCGATCTCACAGGACACTTTACGACATTTGCCCTCTTAGGGGGATAAATGCAAATGATAAGAAAACAAAGCCTTTTATATTTAAAGTTTACCTCGCTTTCAGAAACTAATACATAATGTCAATTATAAAGACAATACTCTCTTTAGAAATAAAAGCCGATGAAGCCTCTTGCTAGTAGTTGGTCATTTACCTTTGAGGGCACTCATCATCCATACCTGTTCACGCCCATTTTACTTCAAAATATTCAATTTCTTTGTCTCACTCAATGTGTTGTGATAACCAAATGCGAAACTTCATCCTTTTCATCACTTGTTCAAAATATTGTTAACGGCCACCTTGAAAGCGGGTAAGTTTTGTTGTTTTTAGATATTTTTGTTTCTTTATGCTTGTTAAAACTCGCTTCAAACTTTTACCTACGTAACATCAATCTCAGTAGTTCGAACAAATCTTCCTCAAATCTTAACTGACCAAAATTATACATTTCCGGTTGAGGCCTATGGCTGCCGATTTTTCAGTTGGGAATGCTCAAATTAGTTTCATGCTGTAAAACCACAGCATAGGTTATTTGTGATGTTTGTAAGGTCCGCTACAAAAGCCAGATGTTAGCCACCTTTGTTGTGGTCGATATGAAGACCGATAACCGAAATCACATGTGGGCCGGCTCTAGTCCGTAATAGCAATTCGTGTTCGTGAAAATGTGCCACGCGATTTGTTCGCTTATTTTCGCGAGTTTCGTTACATATCAAATTTTGGCCCTTTGTTTCAAGGTCTTATTTCCTGTGTTGAGTCCATGGGTGAAGCAGGGTTTCACTTTAAAAGCGAAGACATCTACGAAGAGCATCATGTAGTAAAGTTTCGTGCCCATCGCCCGAAATGAAACATTCAAACACTTTTCGCTTGTCAAAAGCAATTAGATAAATGGAGACCTTATGGACGTATCAAGAGCATATTTGACAAGTCTATATCAATGTTTATCCAAGATGGTTAGACAAACACTAAGTTAACTCCATCTGCAAGCGAGAAAAGCGGCCAATTACAGGCACGATATCATAACTTTGCTAAGCAGCGTGAAATGACCAAAGTTCTGTTGTCTGGAGAACGTGAAAGATGACCGCTAGTTATTTTTAAATTTCTCCCTCTGATTTAACGCTGTGTTCATTAGTCAGTTTCAAAATAGTTTTGACAGCTAGAAACAAACTAAATGACTTAAGAGTATCACAAAAATGTTGGTAGGATATAAGTTCATTTTTTAAATAGATGTTGTCCATGGCGTCGCCGTCGTCGTTCCTTAACTCATCATCACTATGTCGGAAATTGTGGCGCATTTTGACGGCAAAAATGAAGATTTTGACGAGCTTAAATGTATTTTGGCCCTCTTATACGTTCTCGTGATTTGTTCAGACTGTTTGGTTTTTTTTTTTTTTTTTTATAGTGTCTTAAATTCTCATCGCCTCCCAAATTGATCATAATAATAGTAACAAAAGTTATGTTCCTGAACATAAATATATTTGAGTCTTTCTCAGAGTCATTTTAACCCTCACCTAGCAGCTCGGGCTAAAATGACCCTGAGTCAGGCCCAAAATATATTAATGCCCGCTAACATGAAGTCTATTGTTTTATGGTCAAGTCAGGTAATGCAGTTTAAAGCATTTCAATACTTAAAAGAATCACAAATGCAGACTTTCTTTCCATTTATTTCCGTTCTGTCATGGTGCCAAGTTTACTTTCCTGCTCATACCGCGATATTTTCCCGTAACATGAGCGCGTGAAGCTTACGCCTAGAAAGCGAATCCCCTTTTAGGCAATTTCCCGTAATTCTAGACCACAACACGTTGCTGTAACCTAAGTATCTACAATCACTTTCTATTTAAGTCATTCAAATAGCCAAGAGTAAAGTCTTACTCGCCAACATCAGTTCCGCATTGCTCAGGCAATATTTCTAATAATATTATCTTCTATCATTGATTTTTCTCAACTTCTCTTAGCATGGAAGTGACATGGTGAAAAATTCAAAGAATGTTAATGTGTGATCACCCGTTTCGTGTTCTTTCAGACCCAGCATCCGCGAGTTTGGCAGTTTTTACAGTCGTCAGTGGCGTGGCCATTATTGTGTTGATACGCTGGTACAGAAACAAGACTCGTAGACACGACATGGAGCTACCGCTAGAACAGCAATCTGTTGAAGCAGAGGTAACTGGTAAATGTTTTCTTTTGACCGCGTGCACTCTCTTCTTTGATTACATTTAAAAAAGAGATATATCTTTGAATACCATATGAGACTGGCAAGTTCTTTGTTAGTAGTCGGTACACTATCTCAATAAAAGCAAGCTTTCGGGTTTTTGACAATAAAGCAATTGTTGTAAAATTTTCGCGGTAACTGTTTTGGTTGTTTTCAATTTAAAAATGACTGCCGGTTCCCTTAAAACGTTACCCTCAGTTCCAATTTTTTTAGTTCGAAATTCATTCTTACAAATGTTTATATGACTGTTTCATGTGAGATGGTCAGAAATGTAAGAAATTGAAGAGGCAACGAGTTTCGAAAGGAAGAACATATATTTATAGTTTTAAAGTGATTAAGAATACAAACTTGGTCTAAAACTTCTTTCCGTAGTTTCCAGGTTCCCATTTGATGATTTTCTCTATCGACTATTAAGAGCTGCTAGGTCACAAATTATATAGCTATCATGAACCTTGCAAAGTTTCAGTGAATACTGCCGATTCAACTTTTATATTTACGCCAAAATGCGAGTTACTTGAAAGCCTGGTGACATCTGCCATATTGTGCGGTTAACGTTGAACGAGTAGTCATACTCGCGTAATCTTGGATGTGCTCAGTCTAGTGTGTTATTAATTAAGTAACAAGAGTTCACCCATTTCAAAACTGAGGAATGGAATGTGTTTGAGTTTTTCAATTTATCGTAAATGGCACAAAAGGAGAGAAGCTAAGCCGTATTCATGCAATCAAGAAATATCCTCAGCATGTTTCCTTATTCGACTACACAACTCCAAATATGTTTACCACCTGAATTCAGCTACACACTTCATTTTCGAAATTGCCGATCCTAGCAGTAAGTAAGAAGGCTGACTTTCATAAATCCAGGACTGGCCTGAGTCACCAAAGAGTTCTCTGTAGCACTGAAAAAAGCATAATGCCTAGGAAAGTTTTAGGCTCGAATATTCGCGGGAAAACTCAGTCTTTCTTTTATGTGTGTGCTCTAATAACTTCAATAGACGACCGAGAAAAATTATTTAACATCTTTCTGTTCTATCTGCACAAACTAACTCACATTCAACAACTGCTACACTGATCTAAAAGAGGGTAAACTGGCGTTTTCTTATACACACCGTTAATTGACAAAAGTCGTCTTTCTCCTGTATTTGTGCCTTATACTACATATACTCATAGCTGTAAACCTTCTATGTTTGAAACGGAAGTTATTACGGGTGTTAAATTCAATCACGTTTTATAAAGTTACCAGGCTCAGACGAGAAAAGTAGATCCGCTATTCAAAAGTTTTTTGGAGGAAGTTTGTGGAGATTTGGACATAAGATCGGGTGTATAAGAAACTTGAAGTAACGACGAGGTATTGGAGAGGGAAAAACTTTTACACTTTTCTTGTTTTTTTAGGAGAGATGGGGGACTTAATTGGTCATTTAAACTGCACTACTCAGACTCCTTTTTCTTTGTTATAAAGTGAGACCGACGAGGGGCGTACAAAATGAAATATTAATCTTACCAAAGAGCTTTTCTTCAGGGTACTGATGGAGCGCGAAGGAACAAGCTGTCATCTGAAATCATCGCGAGGCAATATCCAGATGTTACTACTGTGTACGAAAGCTTTCTTCGCGGAGTTAAACTGTCGGGTTAGTGACATTAACAGGTTTCAACGGCTAACATAACGACTCCATATGCATGTATGTCCACGGATTCGCAGTGGATTCAAACCGCCTACTGTAAGGTGAAAGAGAGAGAAAAATGATGAGTTAGCAGATCGTACTTCAAAATGTGGAGTAAAACTGCTGCATTGTGATAAAAAAATTGTGCTCTGCGATTGGTTCCCTTGAGTTTTGAATTTAATTTTCTCTCTTTCTGATTAAGGATATCCGAGCTTTCAGAATCAATTTTCAAGGCTTTCAAAGGGTTATAAAGGTTAGACATGTCGTGGGTAGCGTTGATGATATACTCAGCTAAATCAGTAATTATCCAAGGCCGCACAAACTCAGCTTAGTTCAATCTGTAATGCTTTGTACCAAAACAACGTTAAATGTTCTCAGACCGCTGGAAAAATTGATCTCTACTCTGCCATTTTCATTTTTCGTTTTTCAAACAGGGGACGGTCCTTGCCTGGGAACCAGAGATCCAATTAGCAAGAAGTACACGTGGCTTACATACAACCAGGTAAACTTTGCCATCAAGGCACTATACAGTATGCAAAAGAACTGAATTTCAAATTTTTCTTCTTCGCTGCACCTGACATAACCGCCAATTAAAAACGTAAAATTGATTTAGGGTCTTTCTTGAAATGTTGAAAAATTTAAATTTGACCTTTAATTTTTAAAGAGGACCGATCCAGCCCCTTCCAACCCGCTGTCTTATCATTGCAATAGGGTAGCAATCCATTTGATTTGCCTGTAATATGATGAACACTGTTTCTCACCCAGGTTCATGAGAGGGCGACGTTCGTTGGTGCAGGCCTGGTCGCTTTGGGTTGCGAACCCTCACAACAGACCTACATTGGTATCTATGGACCAAACCGAGTGGAGGTGAGCTGTGTGAAAAAAATAGCCTTGTAGAAAATGTTACGTGTGAAATTTTAAACGTCAAGCGTAAAATGTGATATGTGGTATGTGAAACTGCATTTTCTTGCTCTATGGGGACTATCTTCATCTGGCAAGCTGGAGTCAATATTACAATTAACCAAGGGAAGGGGTAGGTTGGGAAACGGACGAAACCAAGAGACTATTTATATTCTCTTGCTTTCATGAGTGACCAAGAGAGAATTTCTCCTTCCAACATCAATACAATATCAAGTAGGCAAGTGATGAGAATCAGGAGAAATATCAATTAGGAGATAGCTTGTTGATCCAATGCGAAATTCTCCAAACTAAAATCCTAAGAACTCTATAGAAGGAAACAAGGAGAATAGCTGATGAGATCTAGGGAGACTGAAAGAGGTAAAAGAGACGGTATGCTCCGAAAAAAAAAAAAAACATGGTAAAGCCATTCCTATAATGGATCTAAATTTAACAGGGAAAAATCCCTTCTGTCGTGACTGAACATTGACATTTTGTTTTGGTTTTGTTTGTGTTTTTATCTTCTTTGTATGCGTTGCGTGCCTACGCGTTGGTGACGTTTAGGTCATGTGATTAAGGCGACTTCAAAGTTGAGAAATGTAAAAAATAAATCGTTTAGTTGTGGAAAACAAACCTTATTTTTATTGTTAAAGCGTTTTGTAGTTGATACCTCCTTTCCCTCTAGGGACAGCATCACCGAGATGTCCACTATCTGTAGAAAGCCGCTATGACTTTTATTTTTCTTTCTTTTTTTCCTCGTAGTGGGCTTTAACTGATCTGGGTTGTCAGATGTTTTCAATGATTTCCGTGCCAGTGTACGATACTCACGGTGCTGAAGAATGTATCTACATCATAAATCATGGTGAGAAATTGATATCATATGTAGGACAATCTTTATCTTTGGGCCACTCTAAAGTAGGGCGTGGCTAGCAACAGAGGAGTTGGGTGAAAAGGGGAAATTAATTACAGCAAGAAGTGTGAT